GTGCCTGGCAAAATGCCAGAGGGAGTGGTTTGAGAAGTAACAAAAGCGAGCCATTAAGTGTGGAGATTCCTTATTGGTTGACTGATGTATCTAGTTTATGCTAATTAGATAAGCTGTGTGGAATATATAAATACTGCTCCTGTCCTGCAATAAACGGCTCCTACTCCTGCTGTATCAAGTACACAAGTTATTCGTCACCCCCCGGTTATTTTGCTGCAGGCGGACTCCGGCAGTCTGTAACACAGCAGACATTTGATAATACTTGAAAGATGAATAAGTGAACATTTCAGCTAAAATACAACCATAGGTAGGTACCGTACAACTTTCCCAAAGGAACCATGTGTTTTAACTCCCTTGAATATCACATCTGCACAGTGTCATCTGGACTTCAGAAAGTAAGACACCAACCAATTCAATACCGGATGCCATTTCTATAATCCCCAAGTTCCTGTAATGTCCAAGAGTACCTGTGCAGGCACGGCCATGCCTCACTAGGTACTCTTTCCAAATTATCCAGTACAGAAAACCAAATACTCAGTTTCTAGGACTTAGAAAACTGCATACCATGGGAGAAAAAGTTGATCTCAAATCCCCAATGAGAGAAAAAAGAAGAGAAGGGTATATAACTCTTCCTATTAGGTATGCTTGATTATATGAAAATATAGATGTTTTATGTGTGTTTACTTATCAAATAATTTAATGCATCCTAGCATTGTTTTTTCCCCTCAAACAGCATATTAGATTTCGAATAAAATCAAGTGCAATGGTACATGCCTATCATCCCAGCAACTAGGGAGGCTGAGGCAGGACGATGGCAAGTTCAAGGCCAGCCTCAGCATCTTAGTGAGATCCTGTCTCAAAATAAAAAGGTCTGGGGGTTGGTTCAGTAATAGAGGGCCTCTGGGTTCAATCCCCAGTACTGGAAGAAAAAGAAAAGATTCAAGTAAAACCTATGTTGCGACAGAATGTTATCACTTTCTGTCATGGTCCATTTGAGAAAGATGGATTTTTTTTTTTTTATGTTGGCCCTACTAGAAATAAGTTCACAAAAACTGTCTGTCAGAATGGTTGGAAAGAATTCTACTGTCATGTATAACTAATTAGAACAATTTTTTAAAAAATTAAAGGAAAAACAGAATGGTTGGAGAGAGAAAGAGAAAGAGATGGAGAAACAGACGGGTGATGAACCTACCTACACATACCAAGTTATAAAGAGTGTGCACTTTGAAGCTTTGATGATTACCTCCACCAGGAAGTGCCCACTTAATTACGTTTTTTTATCAAAGGCAGCAACACTACCTTCAAAAGATCAAACATCTGTAAAGTACTTTCATGTGCTGTATTTGAAAGTAAATATAATAAGGATGCAAACTTTGAAAAATACTGGTCTTGGTTAAAAAGCAGAGAAAACATCTAAAACATCCCTACTTTCCGATTCTACTGAACAATGTGTATTTGTATTTTATATATGAATTGAAGGTCTCTGTACAACATACTGAAGCAAGCCCCAGGCAGTGCTCTGGGGAGAGGAATACACAAAACATGAAGTGACCTCAACATTCAAAGACATTTGCAACCTGGGCAAGGAGATTAAAATATTATTATTATTATTATTATTATTATTATTATTATTATTAATGGGGTATGTGTTGCTGTTCTAATCACTTAAAAAAAAACAGTCTATCATTTTCAGTAGGTAACATGGCTGGAAATTGTTAGTCCTTTCCAACTGTAACATTTCCTGCACTTTTCAGATGGTTGGTAGGATGATGTGGACATAAAATCCTATACATGACAAAATTGCACAGTGGTAAATCAATCGCTCTCTCCCCTTCTCTCTCTCTCTCTCTCTCTCTCTCTCTCTCTCTCTCTCACACACACACACACACACACACACAAATACAAGTAACAACTGCAGAAATCTGAATACTATCAGTAAATTGTATCAGTGTCACTATCCTGGTTGTGACATCAAACTAAAGTTTTGTAAAATGTTATCATCAGGAGTCACTGCGTGAAGTGAATGTGAGATCTCCCTATATCAGTTCTTACCACAGTATGTGCATTTGCGATTATCTCAATAAAGATTTCAATGAAAAAATCCCTGGAAGGGAAGTTCTGTTATTGTTGAAAACTCTTCACAAACTCTATTCAAACTGCACAATACAACTACTTCATCCCTCACTTGCACCCCCCCCCAAAACAAGCCACAAAACATTCACTACTCAAGGGCTCTGGAGACTCAATAAAAGCAAAGAGACTAAAAAGGAGGCGGGAGTCAAGAATGGAGCCAGCAACCAAAAACGAAAGCACTCCCTGCCTGCTCACTCATGGATTTATTCTGCAGCTCTACCCTGATATCAGACAGTCACAGTGGCAGGTACAGCTTTGATAGAAGAACATACTCTCTTTCTAGTTGTAGGAACCAGGAAAGGAGGCTGGGGGAAGCAGAAAGAGACCAGAGAACCACAGAAAGAAAAGGCCAGAGAAGCAAACCCTAGGTCTGGGTGGGTATAGACCAGGCATGACTCTGGCTGACTTCGGAACCATGAATGTACAAGGGAAACCAATGGCAACCAATAGCTAAGGTTTCAGGAACTGATCTCAGACTTGAACACACTG